AGGCAAGCAAATGGGATCTCCTTTTCCTAAGTATCTGTTGTTCATCTTACGCAAGCGAATCGTGTGACATCTGGTTGCTGTGGCAACATTTTGCATTTATATAGTGCCTAACGCCCCAGAGAATCCCAAAGTGCTACGTGTGCTCAGCCGCACCGTGTGCCTCCAGGGCGGGAGTCTACACGGGGGTAAGAAACACCCCCAAAAAGTACCGATGCCTTTTTTTTTAAAAAAAAAAAAAAAAAAAAATACCCCTACACCTGCACCAAAAGCTGTAATTTCTAACATCCAACCTGAAAGATATTTTAAGTATCAACAGCGATGCAGGACAAGCAGGAAACGCGCAGGAGAGATTCTGGCAAAGCGCACAAACTTCATTCAGAGATTCCCTCGAATGACAGCTCTTGTAGCCCAGATCTTTGGGTATTTATGGAAAGCCTTAGCTCATTAGTCATGTTGTGTGTTTCAAATTTTTAACTTTTAGATAACCTTTAAAAAACACAGGAATTGAGAACAGGGAGTTGGCAAATTCCCAGCAGACATTTGCTATATTTAGAAAGAGAGAAAAACATTCTATAAAGGAAGAAGGTCCAATCTTGCTATTGTGAGAGCAAGCCGGGTTTTTTTCCTTCTTTTCATCCTAAAATAAACTATTTTTCAGTCCATCTCTCTGGAAAGGATCTTGGCTATGAACTGTGGCAGGGTTTTGGGACTAACCTTGGTTATTCTCTCCAGATTTAGAATATTTATATGATTCATACTACAGAGACAGTTGCACAAAATTCACACCCCTTACTGCAGACTGGGTCCCAGATATGCACCCTTCCACTTCCAGCAATCATTTTCTACCAGATCATACTTTGCGGCAGTTTGGAAGAGAATATTAAAAAAAAAAAAAAAAAAATTTGTTTTCGGTTTGTCCAGGCATATTTTACCTAGAGAAATCTGGGTAACAACAGGGTAAGATACTGTCCAGCTCACACTCCTTTCAAGAATCACAGCAATTTAAGAACAGGAAAAGAAAGATTTCCCACCTCTGCTTGTTTAACATATTGCTGTAGCTAGCACATGTTCAAAGTCACTGACAGACGCTGTTTTGAACACACAGCAAAACATTATGCAAACTCTTTTAGCCTTCGTACGTGGGTGAGAAGAAGCTTCCAAATAAGAAGTTTACAAGGATTTCAATCTGTAAGTACTTTAGTTAGAGACTGTGCAACTATATAATCGGAAGCTCGATCTTGAGCAGTGTACGCGGAGGCTCCCGCGTCTCTAAGTATAAGGCTAAAAAAACAATCAGCATCGATCACTGGCAACTACGCTGTGCTACCGACGCTTCTCATACCTACTGTTCCAGACGAGACCAGAAAGAAGAAAATATACTGGAACCTGAGAATTTATCCCTTATGGCTGTTCTTATTTAAACCCATGTTTTCCCTCCACAAACATGAAAAACGCAGATCAGCAAAAGCTATATTCCTAAGTGCAACAAATGCTACAGAATTTAAAATATAAGGCATTAAAGCGTGAAATTAATTGCCATACAAAAATTAAGATACGGTCTTTCTGGAGTAGCCATCATCTGTGTTGAAAAATTACACTGGCAAGTGGTTTCTATTAATACAGCTATATCTGGGGAAGAGAAAAAAACCTACGTATCATGTATTCTGATGAGTCCAAGCATGAGATCTTCTAAACCTGCTAGTGACTAGTTAGAAGAGAGATTTCTGTAAACCTGCACTGGCAATGGCTGCAAGGAAAAAAAAAGTGGACAAACTCAGCTAGAGAACACACAACTCTGGAGTATTTAGTTGCTATTTTTACCATGGTTTTAGTCAAGGTGCTCATGGAAATAAAAGCAAGAACCAGGCTCTGTTTGAGGAACGTGCTTGTTTTCCCGCAATAAGCTCACACAAAACTTGAGACACATTCACTGCTTTAGTGCCCACTGTGAGCAAGACTATAAAGAGTCAGATTTTCATGATTTTGTGCATCACCATAACCTTCTCATAGCCTAAGAAATAATAAAAACCCTTCCAGTGTGGACATGGACCTCACACAGCAAGAGGTTTCCTGGTGCTTTGAGACCTTCAAGCAATACACTATTCTGCAGCGATTGCTACGTGACAGGCAGCTTGCAAGCCTTACATTCCCAGAGTTGATTTTGACAGGACAGATTAGAACAGACATTAATTTTAATCTTCAAAGTTTCTCTGTGTCCTGGTTTTGGCTGGGACAGAGTTAATTTCCTTCCTAGTAGCTGGCACAGTGCTGTGTTCTAGATTTAGTAAGAGAAGAATGTTGATAACTCACCAATGTTTCAGTTGTTGCTGGGTAGTGCTTAGACTGGTCAAGGACTTTTCAGCTTCCCCTGCTCTGCCAGGGGCACAAGAAGCTGGGAGGGGGCACAGCCAGGACAGCTGACCCCAACTGGCCCAAGGGCAATTCCAGACCATATGATGTCATGCTCGGGCTGACCCGTGGGGTGAAAAGGACTGCAATCACTGCTCGAGGACAGGCTGGGCATTGGTCATCCGGTGGTGAGCAACTGCGTTGTGCTCCGCTTGCTTCGTATATTATTATTACTACTGCTATTTTACTTCATTTTATTTCCATTATTAAACTGTTTTTATCTCAACCCATGGGTTTTCTCTTCCGA